GACCTTTGTCCTTTCCAGTCCTGGGTTGTGACCTTTATTGATTTGCCTCCAAGGAGTTCCTTGTTTCGTTGTTTGTGAATCCAATATTCGGTCCTCCTTGAGTTTTCCGGTTGAGTTGTTGGTCTTTTTCACGTGCGCTATTCTTTCAGCATCCATTTCCCGTTGACCCTTCATGCATGCTCCTAACGAGAGCCCGTGATTCTACATCATGACATTTGAAACGAAGCTCACAAATGAACACCAGGAGCTATGACTTACTAGGCGTGACAGTATTTCGATCAGTTGTGAAATTATTCACCAAGCCAGGTATTTACGGTGCCATTTTGGACAGTCCCCTATTTCCCATGCAACATTTCTACAAAAAGGGTTTAGATTTTTGGCTCACGAAACCATTTGAAAGAATACCGTTCCGAATAAACTGTCTCATTCCTCGATCAAACCGCCAACAGATTTCCATGAAGTTGAGAGTGAATTTCGTTTGTTGCTTGCTAGCAAGCTAGTTGTGACCTCAGCAGCGTATACTGCACGCTTTTGAGTGTTTTATTCTCCCATAGTAACCCCAATTTCATTCGTTTCCATCTCCGTATATGTATTTTGAAATCTTCATTTATCATTCGAGTTGGCTGGTGATTAAGCATACAATATCTCGGAAAACCATCTTGAAAACTGTCATTATCACCGACACCATTACTTCAGATGTTTTGCTGCCGTACTAATGTAATTTATTTGAAAATCTTATTGTGAAGAGAAGAATAAAACTGGACGACAAGCGGACTTCGTGCTGCGACATCACAATCGTTCCGGAATGACTACATCTCCAGACCTTCGTTCAGACGATCTGGATACAAACTAAAGACAAGGATGACATTAGCACTGACTAACAACCATTCCCTGCAGCGCCTCTAACCAAATTGGTTACCAACCATTCCCTGCAGCGCCTCTAACCAAACGCAGGGGTGTCCACGTGGACTGTAAGCTAAAATGTGAGTCTCACCAGCAGCTTGAAAACTACCCAGAGAGCAACATCAAATTTAAGGGATTCCAAGGTCAACGACAGAGTAACCAATCCATCCAGAAACTGTATTCTCAGTGACCCTTAACCGTACATTTTCAGAAGAGAAGTGCATTTGAAACCTATCCTAGAATGGATGATCATTTACTTGTTTTTCTTTGACAAAACAAGTTGCTCAAAACTGATAAAAAGCAATCGGTGGTCCACTGCCGGTTTGGTCCTTTCTGGAGCTCGTAAGGCAGACTTGGTCCCCGAGTTTTTAACGACCTTAGGTCTTATACCGGAATGTACATAACTAGCGAAAGCTACTCACTTATAAACTACTTAATTGTTAGGAACTTGCACCCAAAATATTGGAACCCTGGTGGCTTGATGGCGTAGCGTGGGTACACAGACTGAAACGTGCCCGCAATCAACTATTGCGTACACGTCTTTTTTTAATGGGTCCGGATAGTCAGACCGGTAAGTACGGACGGTCGGGGCGAACTGTTTGGGCATGTAGGCATGAAAAACACTGATTTTCCGATCTTGCTAAAATTGTGTGGACAATGGGTCTTGAGTGTAATTGCTCAATCGCATTCGCTTTACTGTCCAGTTGGAGCTTACGGTTGACGGAAAACTGGGGTTGCGTCCTTCTAATGAGCCGCAGAAAAACGTACAATATAGAACGCTGTGGAGGAGTTTTCAGTAATCTTGATAGCAGTACGCCTTTTAATATCAAATTAAGTTCGCAGTGAAACACGGGTCAGCGGTTGTGTAGCGTATCCACTCGAAGAATAGTGTAAACAAGATATAGAGTTATATCTACTATCTACGCCAAATCAATTTGCAATAGAGTATATTTCACCAAGTCGTGTGGGATTTTCGTGCCCATATGGCTGGATCACATGCAGCTTCGCTCGTAAAGGGCGAGGCACGCTGTAAAAACCTAACTAGAATGCCCAGATGAAATGTCTGTCATGCGCTGGGTTTTCGGTGGGTAAGCCACGTCACGTCACTCGACGACTCTGCGTTCCGACAGGATACTCAGGGGTCTCTCAAGTACAGTAATTATTCGAGAGATTTACTGCATGAAACGAGGCCGAACTTTTATCTGATGTTTTCTGAATTTTATCACCTATTCGTGTTTTTTTGTTTCGCCTTTTCAGGGGTATTTTTTGAGTTCACAAACCGTACTGGCTGCAGAAACGAAAAAAATATCCACCTTCCGTGAAACAACGAGCAGCTGGCAAGTGAATACGGAGAAGGAGAGCGGAGAAAGGTTTGGCCGCCGAGTAGTATATGAAAATCACAGTGGCCAGAATAATGCGTAATCGAAATATATTGCACTATGTTGATAGAGTACTCCACCTACCGGCCGCGTTTCGACGGAGCAGAAACGGTGGTGCATTTCGCGGAAGCCAGTTGATTTAACTGTCTGACACTCTTGGAAAACTGGCTATTGACCTGAAGCACTACTTGTTGATTGGATGTCTGTTGCTCAGGAAACTTTCCAGCCGATCTGTTGGGGTTCAGTACTTGGGGGCGTTGAGTCAACCGTTCATCAGACTTCCTAACAGGGGGTTGCTTGGTTGCACCTTTTAATAGTGGACCAGAGTTCAAAAAATTTATAGCTTCATCATCACCCTGTTCCAAGAGATTGAGGAGAGAAGTTCGAGGAGTGACACATGATTGGTTGTCAAAACTGGTCCGAGAGGAACGGCTTTTCAGTGCATCCGGAGTGTTCTGAAACCCAGTGGCTCCGCCTGGCGCATTCTGGAAAGGAAGAGTCAGTTGAAATTATCTAATTCATTGAAGATCGGTCGGCGGACTCGATTTATTGGCAATGTGGGCCACTGGTCTACCTGAAGCGGCCCACAATAGGATCAGTTGTTGAACTGCTCTGATTTGGTTTGACTAAAGACCCCCTTAATATTTCAAACATTCTGGAAAATAAGGCTCGCACCAATGCTTCCAAAGACCACAGCGGCGCAAACCGAGCTTATTGGTGGTTAGCACCAGCTAGCCATCAGTGTATGCTGTAGAGGCGCCCTGTGAGTGTCGTGGGCCACCATACCAACTAATATTTTGCTTGTCCACACTTGGTTCGATTGGTGATCCATGGGTCAGGCATCCCGAAAATCCTCTCTGTTGAAGATGGGGAGATTGCCCTTCCCATAAACATCATTTATCAGGTATCCACTGCCAAACTTGGACAGGATGGTGAATTACCGATTGAAAAAAAAACACATTTACAGCTGCAGTTAATGGGTTCTTTCATAATCATCCTCCATAATTACAGCCCACAGTCGCTATGCCTGGTTTCAGCTATTGTCATTGCCGGCGAATATCTTCCACTGTGTATTGATTTGCTGCTACTCGGTCACCTTACAGCAAACCGGGCCACTTTACGCTCTGTGCACGAGATCCATTATCGTCCGCACAATTTCCACAACTGATTCCAATGGTCCAAGGTCGCCCTGTTGTTTTAGCCGACAACCTGAACGCCGGTAATACTCTAAATGCCGGAGATAAGTTGAAAGACGCTAATCAATCCAAATAGTAAACTGATATTGTGCGCAGCATGCGGTTCCCCAGTAAGTGTTTATGGACACAAATGGTTTACGTTCAGACCGATGAACAGTACCCAGTCGACAGAGTACGTAAACAACTCAGAAGAGACGTTGACGTTCGTTTTCAAGTTAAAAGGCAGAAACATCTGTTTAAATTATCCAATAGAGAGGAAAAAGACATTAAAACACGTAGTGCTCGGTTCGTTTGGTTGCCACACATACGGAAACTTCTTCTAGAAGGACCCTCCTTAGTCTTTCGACGAAAGGGATAAAAATAAAAAAACAGCATTTTGTTTTCACTACTCACCAAAAAGGTTCGATTTTCCGGAAGTAAAAGGCACGGGCACTAGTTGGAGCTGAATATTTCCAGTACTGTCAAAACTGATTTACGCGATATTTAGTACTCGGCGTCGTATAGAGGCGGACTGTAAACAAGATGACACAGCGACTGCATTGTACATCGCGTTCATTATCATTCCATCTAGGACTATTAGATTCCTCGTTGCACTTAGCACTGTTTAACCACAATTTTCAGGGACCAAAAGACCTTATCTCCAAGGACGTGTTCGTCTAGGGATACGGACGGCCGGATTACTAGCAACCCAGATGTGCTTTCATCGGGGGCCCTCACACTGCTTAGAGGTGTGTAGATAAATGAGGCTGACCATTTGATGATTTACTGTATCAATAAGGATACTGCAGACCCTTCGATAACCCACGACAGGCTTCTTCTTTCTTGGGGTACACAAGGAGCAAATCTTGCAAGTCTCCACCGACATACGTTCTCATAGAACCCAAGTTGGCTTCGGTGGGAGCCCCTTGCGAATACTGATTATGTCATTTACGATCTTTATCAAATTAACGTACCACTTCATCTCGAATATAATGCAAGCAGAAACAAGAAGAGGCCTTTATTCATCTGAGATCCCAAGTAGTTTTGTAAACGAGTGAACTTTTTAAAAAGCACTCACTCTACCGTACACCTGAAGATTTGCACTTTTGCAAACTAGCAGTTGGACAGTCCGAACGCACGAAAATTTCAACCGTCAGGTTGATAAATAGGTATCTGAAATGCACATCAGTTGGAGTCAGTAAGAGTAGACTATGATTTGAACCTCCAGCACCATCACGTCTAAGCGGAATTCGACCACGACGCAATTGTTCACCACTTCCAGTTTCTGCGAAAGACATTCACTGTTACGGGGCGGTGGGCTCGAAACTGCGACCCATTTTGGCACATTTTTACATTTTGTTAATCACTTCAATGACAGTTCGAATGATCTATATAGGTGAGAGCTGCAGGAGCCCATTCTCTACGAGTCGCCGCATACTAAACACTGTACGTTTGATAGTAAGTCACACAGGCAAGGAACTGTTACCTGCACAGAACAGGTGCAGTGTTAATAATTCTAGGGCATGAAGCACGCACAAGTTGAAGTGACGTACTGATTTGGAAATAGGCTCTCCTTTGTTATTCAGTACCACGAATTGTTCTAGAGGACCATCACTGCCGCACCGACTTGCAACCGATGAACAGTCATACCGATACTGAACAATGTAAGCACTTGGGTCGGCGTAGTGATAAAATTTGAATTCCTTATATCCTTTTTGAGGCCGGATGGCTGGAGTGCATTTGGCCGTTTGGGAAACCGCCGCTGGTCGAGGAGTTGGAGCAGGTCGGGCGAAAAATTCCAGGATTGCATTGCGATCCGTCCAGCCAGACATTCTTGGGGTGGACAGAGACGGCTCCTACCGAGTATAGACAAAGCATTGTGTAAATCAAGCGACAAATACAGCAGAACTCTGCCGGTGAAGGGAAACCGAAATTGTTACCTATCGGAGGAAACCTACCGGAGTCATCGCAGAGGTTGCGGACTTGCTACAGACCCTGGCACTGATGCTCATCACTGTAGGGAGCCAAGCGATGCGTAAAAGTAGGGGACACAATAATCGAGCCAAAGAAGGAATAGTTATGGATGTCTGGAAAGAAGGTAAGCAAAAATGCAAATCATGAATGTCCATTGGATTTAGGTGGCGCATTGTGCTTTTCATAGTGCGGCGTTTTTCTTTTACTTCAGTCGATTTTACATAAGTAACATCACTGGCACATGTTGCTGCGGAAACCAAGCAGAAATTATTTCTGATGAATTAAGCCAGCGGTAGGTGGGTAGCGGAGGACACCCGATGTGCTACAAACCGGTTTCGGTGAGCAATATTAAAGTAATGTGTGGCGCCGTACCGCATGTCAAACAGCCGCACGGTGGATCTGCCGATGGATTTCAGGCTGCATGGTTGCCCTAGTGTATTTTACATGTCCTTCAAATACAAGGTACTCCAACAGAGGATGGAAAGAGATGCCTGTTGGCCCCGTTGGCGGATAGCACGGAAAATAAAAGACTTGGTGAACGCTATAAATTTTGGGTGGATTGGAGGGCCATTTCGGTTTATCTCACTGGGTGGTATCCCATACACGGATCATGGATTGAGTGATTGACAACTAAATAGAATGCAGAGAACTATTTGGACAGTGGGGAGCTGTTGGATAGGTTCAGTGAACAACGAGATGGTAGAATCGGTGATACTCTCCGTTTGCACAGATCTAAGATTGGCTTAAAATGGTTCTTCTCAAGCTTTTAAATCAAACGTTTGATCAACAAGGTGGTAAAAAGATGCGGGGTCGATTTCAGGAGCCCTATGTCTAGTTTGTGATTCATTCTGAAGTGCATGAAAAGCGCTCATTAACGGCAAATTCACAAAAGTGCACTAATAACTGATTGACAGACAACCATGTTAGTTCACTTGAATAAAGCCTCTAATAGAAAACGTGGAAAAGTGCATATACAAAGGGGAGATAAGGTTGGCCGACTGCAGTTGTCTGAGGCACCTACACCCCCTAAACTCGGCCACCATGTCGTTCACTGCCTCAAGCTAGGTACGGGGGGTATCGCGTGGAACCAATCCAGAAGGCTAAACAAAATCAACAAAATCAAAAAATCGTAACAGCCACCGCTGTCTTTTTGACTGTCAAAATCTTTCCATATCCAGCTTTCCGCCACTCCGAATCGGGCACAAAAATGAGCGCTCTTCCTTTCGGGTAGTAACTGAGTCTGTGTAACATACGGCATAGCGACCTCAGCTTGCCGGTCTGGAAGCATTGCTTGAGTTATTGTTTGAAAGCTGTCTGTATCACCTGAGAGCAACTTCCTGATCGCCTCATTCCAAATCCACTGGTTCCAGCCAAACGCAGATACAGCTATGAAACATAGGTGATAACGTTCTGAGGATGTCTCGTGTCCTCCGTCCGAAGTGACCAGACCTTGCAGGCGTACTATTGTCTCAGCCCGGACCGTCGGCTATTATATGCGTGTTCTGGGACTAAGTGGTACGTCCTTTGCGAGGAAAGTGACGAAAATGGACAAATAAGCATTCATGCACTGACGTGAAAGCTAATGCAACTCTCGAGATACTGCGGTGTTTCACAACCTTGACTATCATTCCTTGAATTCTCAGAAGCCTGTCCAATGACCTACGTCCCGCAGCGTGACTTTGCACTCCGTGAGCAAAAAGCACTTGCCAAACAGCTGTACGACCTTGGCCGTTTTCCTTCGTGCTTTTCGTTCTTTTTAAAATGTGTGAACAAAATCATCTGCGTATTCCAAGTCAATAAGAGCCTTATTTAGATTGACCTGAACAATGGAGTTCCGGGGATTTTTAGTGTTTGCCTCATTCGTTCATCAGTGACCGAATCTAACAAAACTTTTGACACAGCTGCTTGTAAAAGCGGTTTCAAAAAGTTCTTCGTATTCTCCCACGCATGCGAATAAAAAGAGCTTACGATATTCACGAATTACTACTATAACAACTACTGTCGCACAAGCGTACTGAATAAAACTCAGTCTGCAGAGTCAAATGCACTCTCAAGGTCAAGCAATACCACGACTGCAGAGTGCCTGTACACCTGCCATTGCACTAACTCTTGATCAAAGAGAAAACACTGTCCACAAAACGCCTTCTCAACTGTATTCTCGCTTGTTGTTCCCGAGGATGTCTTCACGCACCCTAGTAAGGGAACGTAAGACACTTGACACAAAGAATGTGATTATAAATTGATCAAACTGGCTTCTTTGGATTACCACCTCCAATGGGACCACACTACTCTCAACTGACCCGTGATGGTTGTGACGGTCACTTTATTCCAGATAAAATCGAATAAGTTAACCACCAAAAGAATATTCCCTTTCATCTTTAAACATAGAGAACTGAAGTTCCCCAGGACCAGCAGATTGGTAATGCTTGAGAAACAAAAGGCACTCAGGTATTCCGGGAGCCATTGGAGGTTTTAGATTTCGAGTCGGGCGCCTTGCTTTAAGTTGAGGATCCGATTGCACAAATAAGGACGGCCAGTTTTTCCTTTTTGAAAGGGTTCAACAAAGAACATGGACGCTTCTCTTTAGAGGCACAGGTGCCCTTTTTACAAATGATTGTCTCTCTCACCAGGAGTACATTTGAGCCTATTATGCAAATCAGTCGGGTTGAGTGCAAAAAGCGCCTTGGAGAACAACAGCGGGTTAGTGATTAAGGCGAAGAATGTGGATATTAGACTGCCACTGGTAGTGCGATATCACCATGTCGGTGAGTACCTCCGACCAGTGGTGTGGTGAGCCTTTGATACCACATCCCTGCAGGTGGCATGCACCAGAACAGCCGAAACCTGGTGTTGTTTTTCATGTGTCGTCTCTGGGTCACGTGTTATCCACCCTATGGTGTCTTCCACTCGGAATCTGCGTCAGCAAGCATGCAATCGATCACCTGGCCAATGGCGCGCGTTGCAAAACCAGCGTGTATACAGCAGCCAAAACAACCGGTCGGTGGAAACAAGTTGCTTTATTGTAAAAACCATATGTTGCACTTATAAGTGCAACCTTAATTAAGGTTTGTTAATTTGATGTCCCCATAATGCATGTATTTTGAAGTTGCTGACGGCTTAATGCCAGCAACCTTTTCTTCCTCAAAGCACACTGACCAGGCTTGACACTCGTTAAAGAATATTGGGAGCACTGCCTCCATGCAGACACATCCTTACACCGACGGAAAAATGCCACGCTGGCGGTAGATGTGCATTTTGGTGTATCAGCTATAAAGTGTACGGTGGTTCCAGCTGCTACGGTTTCAGTCACCGGAAAATGGATTAGCATGGGAACTATGACCATTCACAGCGGGCGATGATTTGATAGGTTATTTTACAACATATACTCCTTTGAGAAATTGGGAACCTGGTAAAAAGGTTTGAAAGCGCAAGGACTGATGCGGGAAAGCCACTGACTCCACGGTTGAGTCATATCTGACAGGGGCATCAATAACAAGCAAAATAATGATCCCGTTGCAAAACGTTTCTGATGCCCACCTGCCATGGCAACCAAAGGAAGCACGAGGGCAGAGGTACTGCAAGATTATCCAAGCCTAGTTGGTGTAGCTTGGGTGGATTCAAACCAAAGATCTTCCCGTCAGTAATTTCGGGCCACAATCGCCAACATATCTCAAGCTTTCAGCATCAGCATTATGAGTTGATTCCAGGGTTCTGAATTCTTGGTGGTGGCAGTTCATTGATCAATGCTTTCAAAATATGTTGCTGGCCATGTATTGCCCACTGTTCGGTTGCCTTTACTCAGAATGGAGCTGGGCAAAGGGGGCTGTGCAAGGAAGAATGTCCTATGGTGTGTGAAGTACACACCAGTGTAACCTATTCAGCGTGAGTAATTCACCTATAATTTTTGGCTGCTACCTCTAGAGATAGAAGGTACGTTCATAAATTTGCCTACCCACATAAGTTTACTTATAAACAGTTGTGCCACACCGATAGATAGTTGTCGCATTAGAGAGATACCGTCGAGGAGCTTGTCAGAAACCTAACGTGAGTTTGAATCCAGTGGCACAGTATAGTCTGCTGTGGCGATATCCGCTTTTATAGATCCTAAACATGGTTTGTGCGCGCAGCGGATGAACAAAAAATGTTGGCATTTGATAATCAGTGACTCCGAAGCTTTAGTCCCGTCTGGTGAATTAGCGGTGCACTTTGGTAATCCGCTGCTTCACACACCATAGTGGCTCTGATGCTCTGAGACGCCCGGACTTGTAAAAACGTTCCGTTTTGTCTTATTAGGCGCAAACACTGTCTGACCTGACTGTGTGTTGGACAAGCTGGAGTTGTTGTAAGGCCAAAAACCCACAGACGCTATTGAGCATTAGTTTGTTCCGGGCCGAATCATGTTGGGCCAATATTTACGGTTTGAGAAAGCCTTTCTGCGTCTGATGATCAAAGCTAGCGCGTCTCGATGCATAAGCCCGTCTGAGGACACAGGAGTCGGTCTAGTTGGCTCTGTGCCATGCCGCATTTTCCCACTCAAACCTGGCGCTACATCACATAGATAATCGTGGTAATAATCCTTTCATGTTGTATAATGAGGATCTGGAGGATATAATGATCCAGTTTGCTGCATAGGTTAATTCAGGTAGAGCTCTAAGATATTTGGGATACCGAGCATATATCTAGGAGAGATTTTCCAGCACATTTTGCACCGAGGAGTGTATTCTGAAATTCAACAACTTCCCAATGTTGTTATAGCTGTGAAGCTACCTAAAGAAAGATTCGAATACAATATGTCATATGATAAACACATATAAGCAGGTAAAGTCCAGATTCAATTACATTACACAACAATGTTTTCTAATTCGAGGTATTTGTTGGCCTCAAAAGTTTGCTAATTTAAACAAACCACCTGAACTTGGAAGCCACAGAAAGGCGCCTAAAACATAGGGAAACATCCTGACAAAGTGGCAAAGTCGAAAGCATCATGGTGAAGGCGGTTGCCACTTGACGGACTCCCTGATTGACCGGGTTTCCAGGTCTTCAATGAGACGACGCGAGCAAGTCACTTGCGAAAGTTGATTTACGTGTGTACCAGCAGCGGCGCTCAGTATTCGCAAAATGGAATTGAATTTTCGATAGCTATGATGTGTCCATAATGGAATAAAATGGAGGAGCAACTGGGTTGAGAGTATCATTTTTCAATTTTGAGTCCCATTTAGACACGCCGAGGTCTTCTGAGTTTTGTGCCTTTGTAACACTACGTATTTCATCAATTGCATAATCGTTTTTTGTTTGAATACGAAAAACTACAAAACGCGCGCTTGTACAATTTCACAGAATACAAGCGTGATCACGTGCTACGATTCTGTCTTCTGAGTTCGCTCGCGCTGGCAGTGGTCATTCGCGAGTCTCATATGCCCTCTCTGGTGTCAAAACATTTCAGACCATCTTCGGAATCTATTATATGTGGGAACTGTTCAAAAGAAGACCCCTAGACAACTATGATCGGATTATTGTTTATTAGCTGATCTGGGACAACGACGAACTTTTTAAAAGTGAACAATTAATAGTGAGTTTTTCCCATCTGACCTCTTTGTTGCTGTATATCGTACCTAGCGTTATTATTTTTATTTCTTTGCCACACACTCCTGGGTAGCTAGGCCACTACAAATTTGGTGAGCCCGAGTATTTCTGGATACATTTTTGAAAACTTTTCCTTTCAAGTTGTCGTGATTTTGTTTCTTTTGCCCGGTCATTATAGAGGCACACTTTGATTTATCGGATTAAGTCGAGAATGCAATTAGCATACGTTTACCAGACTATAATCCACGCAACCCCAGGGTATGATTCGACCAGGCTGAGGCCAGTTTTACTGATGACGCATCACTTCCCAAGCCACCGAATTTCCTATATTGTCCAGCATCTTCCTTGTGATGTAACAACAGAAGTAGATCTGTTGGAAGATATTTCCAAGGAAAATTCTTATGACGCCCTTCGAGCGGCCATCATCAGTAGGACAGGGAAGTCAGAAAACAAAATTCTACGGGATTTATTCACCACTGTCAAACTTGGTGACAGATCCCAATCACAACTTCTTCGCCACATATGTGGTCTCTTCTGCAGCCATAAGCTAGCGGTGGGAATCACAGCCTGGCTATTGCTTGATAAACTATCACCCTCAATATCTCGCGTAATCAGCGTTTCCGTTGATGACCACAGCTAGAAGCAGTTAGCTCAAATGGCCCATAAAATCCACAAACCCTACCCTAGTAACCCCATAAACTCTGTCTCCCGCCCTGAACACACCGCATCTACAGATTTCAATCCGATTCTCGCTTCCATATCGCAACTACGGGCTAAGTTTGATACAATGACCGATCGTCTACAACGACTAGAGACAAGCAAGCTTCGACCATGTTCACGATTTCGATCATTGTCTCGCGCCCGGTCCTCTTGGTGCTCGTATCACAAATTTTCGGTCCTCAAGCACGCAAATACCAATCGCCTTGCGTCCCAACACCCCTTTAAACACGCCGGCCGGACAATGACGGTGACGACTGTCTGTGGCCCTCCTCGCGCTAGTCGCCTATTCCACATCACCGATCGTTTACGTGGTCTACGTTTCATCTTAGATACGACAGCTGAAGTTACCACATAAGGATTCACTTCCCGATTTGCTTCTTATCAGTTACAAGCCGCTAACGGTACCCGCATCGCTACATACGTCCAAATACCTATCACTGGTGCAGACTTCCTGACCCACTACGACCTGTTAGTCGAAGTTCGACACAAACGCTTCTTGGACTTGCTAGCTTTCCATTCAGTCAACGGATGTAGGGCCTCAACATCATCCACAGGTATCGGAGTTATCTTATCGGGTCCGCTTTTTGCTGACATACTTGGGGATTTTCCAAACCTTACTCATCCATGTCAGTACGCCCAACCGGCCACTCATTCCGTCGTTCACCACATCCAGACGAGAGGTCCACCTGTCCATACCAACCACCGCCGACTTCATCCGGATAAGCTACAAATCGCAAAACACGAGTTGGATCACATGCTCGAACTTGGCATCATCCGCACTTCATCGAGACATTGGTCGTCACCCCTACATATGGTACCCAAGAAATCTAAAGGTGATTGGAGACCTTGTTAAGATCGCCGTTCTCTCTATGGCAATGGCCCATAAATCCACAAACCCTACCCTAGTAACCCCATAAACTCTGTCTCCCGCCCTGAACACACCGCATCTACAGATTTCAATCCGATTCTCGCTTCCATATCGCAACTACGGGCTAAGTTTGATACAATGACCGATCGTCTACAACGACTAGAGACAAGCAAGCTTCGACCATGTTCACGATTTCGATCATTGTCTCGCGCCCGGTCCTCTTGGTGCTCGTATCACAAATTTTCGGTCCTCAAGCACGCAAATACCAATCGCCTTGCGTCCCAACACCCCTTTAAACACGCCGGCCGGACAATGACGGTGACGACTGTCTGTGGCCCTCCTCGCGCTAGTCGCCTATTCCACATCACCGATCGTTTACGTGGTCTACGTTTCATCTTAGATACGACAGCTGAAGTTACCACATAAGGATTCACTTCCCGATTTGCTTCTTATCAGTTACAAGCCGCTAACGGTACCCGCATCGCTACATACGTCCAAATACCTATCACTGGTGCAGACTTCCTGACCCACTACGACCTGTTAGTCGAAGTTCGACACAAACGCTTCTTGGACTTGCTAGCTTTCCATTCAGTCAACGGATGTAGGGCCTCAACATCATCCACAGGTATCGGAGTTATCTTATCGGGTCCGCTTTTTGCTGACATACTTGGGGATTTTCCAAACCTTACTCATCCATGTCAGTACGCCCAACCGGTCACTCATTCCGTCGTTCACCACATCCA